ACGCAGTGACTGTTTACACCGATTACATTACTTTCCCACCGTGGCACTGCCCTCTCTGTCATTTTTATTTTTTATAGAAATAAAAATCATTTAGTTCAGATGGAAAACGTAGCTACACTAAACTGAAAGTGTCTGTTCTGCTCCATACAGCCAGGGTTGCCAGGTCTGCGTGACAAAACTAGCCAATGCCAGTCAAAAACTGCGCAAAGTAGCATAATAACCATATCCTAAATATCAAAACTCAAAATATGTACGTATGATTCATACCTAAAATATCTTTTACAGTCACTGTTAAGTACATTGATCATAAACACAGCTCAAAGGCTTCCTACCAGTGGTCCTCCTTCAAAAAACTAGACATCTAGCGAGGGTTGCCAGGTCTGCGTGACAAAACTAGCCAATGCCAGTCAAAAACTGCGCAAAGTAGCATAATAACCATATCCTAAATATCAAAACTCAAAATATGTACGTATGATTCATACCTAAAATATCTTTTACAGTCACTGTTAAGTATATTGATCATAAACACAGCTCAAAGGCTTCCTACCAGTGGTCCTCCTTCAAAAAACTAGACATCTAGCGGAGTTTTATCATAGGTAGAAAGTCAAATATTTAAATAGGCTACAAGCATTTCAGTCAAATGTAATTTATGCAGTATTTCAAACTTTTAACCCGCGGTGGAAAATCAACCCATGGCAACAGTTTAAAAGTAGCCCATTTCCATGGAAAAAGCGGAATTGGCAACCCTGCATCCAACACGAGCTGCCTGAGTCAGATTTGATAAAACCATGCTGAAGGATTTGCTGCTAAACAGATCCTGAGCTCTTTGACATGTCTGATCTCGTAAGTTGTGCTCCCTTTACACAGAGTGTGCGTGATCATGAAATCGAAAGTGAAAATGAACACTGACCACTCATTTAAAAGTGATTTCAATACCCCAAATATTGGCGTTGCACGAAAATATACAGTATTAGAATCTTTGCGGGAGTGGGCGGTAATGGTCAAAAATTCAGCAGGAGCGGGATTAAGAAAACAATCAAGCACAGGGCTCTAGTGTGAGGTAAGATGAGTAGCTAAATATTTAATATCTAATATCTGTTTTTCGATACAATTGTTAGAAAGACCAACAGTAATATCCTGTTATATGCAAACTAGCCTACCCCACTGCCTACCCCACTTTTTTTTTTTTTTTTCAAATTTGACCATTTTGAATTAAAAATATAGAATGAATCATCTATGTGATTCATGTAGGCTAATTCATAACTGAATGTGACATGATAAATAAAAATGTTGGCTTTTCATGCACACATTCACTCTTAATCATATGCCTATTTTGAAATTTAAAAAAAAAACATTCTCAAACAGTGCAAATTGATTACAAAAAACAAACCCTTGTTCTTTTACGGTTTTTCTTTCTCTTTTTGTGTGTATGGAAGCATATAGGTAGCGAAATTCAGTTTAAATTGCAATATGCAAAATGGCAATGCAATATTCAAAATGGCAACGCAATATTCAAAATGGCAATGTATTTCTGTATTTAAATTATGTGTGTGTGTGTGTGTGTATGTGTTCAGTATATTATGAGTGTAATGCTTCATTATGAAGTAAGTATTAGCCAATTATTTCTGTAATTCGCATTCTAAAACCACTAAATGATCCTCCTCCGGAAGAGGTCTGAAGGTGTGAAGGCTTTTTTTTTTCTTGGTAGTGAGAAAAATAGCCTCTCTATTTCCTCTCTGCCTGTTATAGCAACTTTCAGTCTAGTATTCACACAGAGGCTTCCAGTCCTGTAATCACAATGGTATCAGGTGGAGGATTCATTTACATCTCTCTTGAAGTGCTCATTGCAGTGGGATGCTGTCTGGGCAATATGTTGGTGATCTGGGCCGTGTGGAGAAGTGGAGCCCTGAACAAACCCACTTTCTGCTTGATCGTGTCTCTGGCGGTGGCTGATTTCCTGGTTGGGGCCGTGGCAATTCCTCTGGCTGTGACTGTGGACATCCACATCAAAATCCCTTTCCATGCCTGTCTCTTCATCAGTTGTTTTCTCATCGTGCCGCTGCAAGCGTCAGTGCTCACCCTCCTGGCTATTGCTGTGGACCGATGTCTGCGGGTTTGCATCCCTTTCAGGTGAGTCGGCCTCCAGAGGGCTTTGAAATGACATGAGCAATGGGCTTTAATGCGTGTCAAGTTTGTTGAAAGCAAAAGCGAAATATTTAAGATTCTGTACTACCTTTAGATAAAAAATCAAATACATAATCAAATAAAGCTCATTGATCATGTCAGCTCTTGTGCAGATTGGGTGCTTCTCATTTCTTATTTGTGCATCCTCTTTTCCTTTCCTCGTGTCTTAGCCTTTAGGAAATGACAGAATCTGGGAATAAGGGATCTGCCCTTATGTTTTTAAAGTTTGTTATTTAAGACATTTATAATAACTATTAATAAAGCAAGATGCCCTGTTGAAATATATGACATGTATGGTTTATTTAAACTGCAAAGGTAAAATGTAAATTAAAATTATCACGACAGATGTGAAGGGCGAGGAGAATTTGTATGTGCATCAGGTTTTTCACCAAAAAAGACTTCCTTATAGGATACACGTGTGTATCCTTGCTCATAGCTCCTCTGGAAGTCTCCTCACTCGTTCCTCGCCTCCTCATGGTGCGATTAGAGAATTGAGATGGGTTAAGGCTAGAAGGGATACAGCTGCAGCTACTGGGCATGCACACATCAATATAGCGTCATTTTTATGTCCTTCAAGATGGCTGAGTTCGATCGGTTTCCGGGTCACAGGCTCAAGGACGGAGGAGCAAGAAAATGAGGAATCATCAATTTGAGTATTGAGAAGCAAATATATATATATTATATTATATATTAAATATATTGCATTTAATTTCTGATATTAATATTGAAATTACATTATTATATCAATATTATTAATAGTGATATTAAAACACATTTTAAGTTAATAATATAATAGGTTGATAATATTAAGAAATGTGCATTGTGCAATAAAGAAATACTCGAAATTATAGTTTTATATCAGTAAGTGATATGTCAATAAATATGTTAACGGATTTGAATGTTACTTAGTATGAAATAAATGTATTTTAAACAAGTTATTGAAGAGATTTATTTTCTTTCTTTGTTTTTTTACTGGGTTACGCCCCTTATTTCTCCCAACCCTAGTAACGCCCCTGACTAATGGACCAATGATGACGCTTAAACCCGCCCTGATTTACGTTAAACTCTAACCGCAACATTTGGAAAAGCAATTGCAGAACATGGAAACGAGCGAAGGGAAAAACTGCATAAGCATACAAAAATTAAAAATATGAGCAGAATAGAGCACAAAAAACAGAGAAATATAAGCCGCCCCTCTTCATCTGATTGGCGAGAGGAGGAACTGTTAATCTAGAACTAGTGGACCAATGATGACGCTTAAACCCGCCCTGATTTACATGAAACTCTAATTGCAACATTTGGAAAAGCAAGCGCAGAACGTGGAAACGAGCAAAGGGAAAAACAGCATAAGCATACAAAAAATAAAAATATGAGCAGAAAATGTCTGAGAACAGTAAAAAACAGAGACATATAAACAAGGAAAATATGTTATAAGTCAGATAATTTTGCATTAATATTTCAGTTTTGTGCAATATGATTTTAAATGTTATTGATTCATGCTTTTTTTTTTTAAATGCATTGTTACATTTTTACATGATTTACGCTTATTATTTTTCGATCCGTGACCATTGTTTGCTATTCTGAAAACTTTCATTTTTTAATTTTGTGCAAGATATTTTTACTTGCGTTTTTAAATTTTGGTTTCACGCTTGCTATTTTTTATCCGTGACTGCAATACATTTGGCAGGAATTTGATCCCATAGCAGTTGTTGTTGTTTATTAAATATTGTTATTCAATAAATAATATTTATATAAATAATAGTAGTATTTACTAATAGTGTTTAGTTTTGGGAAACTGTGTGTGTGTGTGTGTGTGTGTGTCTGTGTGTGTGTGTGTGTGTGTGTGTTCGTGATGATGATTTTAGTTACATTATTTTGCCATTAGACGCGGCAAGAGACTGTTTTTACCAAGTGTGCCTCACAAGCACTGAAAAGTGAAGCCAAAATGTTTTGATTGCCCCTAGGTGGCTGGTCCCAGTCAAAGTCCCTTTAAAGGAATCATGAACTGCCTTTGTTTTTTATTTTGTACAGTTCTCTGGGGTCCACTTATAATGTTATCAAAACATAATTTAGAAGTAATAGGATATTTTCTGTCCTGTTTTCGACCCCCTAATCAGAATGCTCTGTTTGAATAGGCGTGGCAGATTGTAGACTCAGAAGTAAATGCCCACTGCTATGATTGACTAACCCTCTGTTCCAATCAGAAGGGCTCATCCCTATTCCGTAAATAGGGTTTAAAGGGTTTACCCTCTGGAGTGAGAGCTTTGAAGGGTTGAAGGGTGTAGGGGACCAAACAACTGTTTCTTGAAGTGCCCTTCTGCGTCATCATCCCGTGCCCACACAGAGGCCCCATCATCATGGAAAGAATCAGCACAAAGGATCACCATCAGTTGTACCCTTGGAAATCCTTCGTTCCGAAGGGCCCTTTGAAGTGGCCAGTTTTGAGCACTTCGGTTTGGAACGACCCTTCAATATGGTGGCCATGATTTTTTTCACTCCGAAGTACCCTTCAGAGGGTGATATATCCTGTTTGGAAGGCGTCGTAAAAGTTGTGTATGTTTGACAGCCTACATCCTTCACAGATGGACACTGCTGTGATTTAGGTTAAAAACGCATAACTACTCATATCAAACTATCTGTCAGAAGAGACAAAGCAATATGACGATGTAATGAAAACAGTTACACTTGTGTTGCGACATTACTGTCAGATCCAATATAGTCTGCACAGCGTCGTCTTTTAGTTTCAATCTTTTTGAAAATCCTGTGTCGAATTGTGCCTTGTTTGTAAACGAATCCGCTGTAAAATGAAGTGAACAATAGTCCGAGTTTTTTTCACAACTTGGCTCTGCACAGCATCTTGTTGTCTTCAGAGCCATCTTTATCATCTGGTTTCTGCATAGACCTGTGCGTTCGCCTCTCTCTCGGGGCTAAACAGGCAGTGATGCCGATTTTCTTCTGCGGGGGCGGAGCTTATCCACACTAATACCTCATAGAGTAGAACATTCCAAAAGCTGTCGTTTTGGCAGACTGCCTTCAATATAAGCTGTTTTTAGAGTAACGACAAAGTTTTGAGTTCTGAAACTTACAGGACATTTTTATAGTACAATGATCTCTTATATGTCAAAAGATCCAGGCAAGTTTGGTTTCTCAGTTCATGACCCCTTTAAGGCATCTTTGAAACGCCTCTCAGGCATGCAAGTGCAGCTCCTATCTCTTTGAATGGGGAAACATCAAATTCTCCAAAACTGTTCGCCAAGCTTGCGATTAAATTTCATATTTGAAATCACCAGTGAATGACAATAGCTGTCTCATAAATGTTGTTTCTTTTGCTCAAATAACATTAGAATAAGCTTATTGGCTCTTAAAAAAAAAGAGATTGGCTCTTTTATTTATAAGGAGGGGCTTCCTTTGATAGAGTAGCCATATTGAGCGTTGCATTTCTCCCCATTCAAAACTATACGTCTTGGGTATTCTATTGTCTTTGTCCCAGTATAGATCATAAACCCGCCCTCTCCATGTAATGGGACGTCAGACAAGAGAAAATAATTCAATTACACTTGGAGTTGTATTTATCTTCATTTTAACAAGCCCCTTGTACAGCTATCAGCAGGCAAAAATTGGAGCGGTCAGGGGCGTGTCCTTGCGATCGACTCTGCGGGAGTGTGGGCGGGACACGGCTCCACTTCACTCGCTACTGCGCAAACTCAGGTCCCGAATCAGCACAAGATGTCAGCGCCCTATTGGGAAACTGGCGGCTTCACTTTTCTTCAGTGGAAGAGAGTGAATGTGTGTTGTCTGTCTTTTTTTTACAGTATATGGTTTTTACGAGTCAGCAGTGAAGACTTTTATGTTGAAAGAGACAGTGAAACGCGGTGGTAAACAAGGAAGTCATTTTTACTTTCAACAACACATTAAGACGCAGCCAACAAATGTACTGAGCAGTGCTGTCATTGGAAATCACTCTTAACAGATGAAAGGATAGTACGACAAAGATATTTCCTCAGTGTACATTCAAACTAATGTTTTATTGTGAATATGAGATTGAGCTGAAGAATGAATGCTGTGTCAGATGCAGGTAATCACACTCGCTGAGTCAATCACTCTCTTATAATACCCTACTACACATACAACACTGCTTTTAATCAGTGGTGTATAAAGAACCTGAAAGCCATACTCAAGTAAAAGTACAGATATCCTACCAGAAAATGACTTTGGTAGAAGTTGAAGTCACCGTTTAGAATATTACTTGAGTAAAAGTCTTAAAGTATGTGATATTTATTGTACTTAAGTACGAAAAGTACTTACAATACTTACTTAAGTATTGAAAGTAAAAGTACAAGTAAATGCAAAATGGAAAAGAAGCAAATAAATAATATATCAAATGTTCATACACAGCTTGAGTAGCAAGATTGTGTTCAGTTTTAACTCTTTCTTCCATTTTGCATTTTTGGGTAAGAATAAGAAGCACTTCATCTGGTACTTAGTGTCTTTCATTCCAACATAAGAAAACATTTATGGAATCTGCATCTGAAATAGAATTTAGATTTATTTACACAGTTTAATGTAGGCCTATTTCAGAGGGGACATGGATGCATTTAACCTGCCATCACAGATGAATAAATAATGTTTTGTTTTTAACATAAAACGCTGAATGCTGTTATTTGAAATTATTTTAAAACATAAAAAATAGTCGGAATGTGAAATTAAAACCGCCAGTAGGTGACAGCAGGTGACTGTTAATGAGTGAGTCATTGAGATTCAACCGATTCATTCAAACGGCTGATTAATTCAGGAACAACGCATTTGACTGTGTTAATGAGTGAATCACTGAATCATTTATTCAACCGATTTGTTCAAAAGGCTGATTCATTCACTAAGTAAACACCGTCCTTTGCTCAGAGATGCAAAACAGTGCTGTGATCTTTGTTTGGAACTATATTCGTTAGCAAAATTGAGCAAAAACAAGCAATATTATGTCTAAAATGTTAGTCACTTACTGCTTTACTGAACTTGTATAAAATGATTATTAAATATGTTCATGCTGATATCTGCAGAAAAACGGTACTCTTTGTGTGATATAGATTAAGTTAACTATATTAAATTATATAAATATAAAAAGCATACAGAATC